TGGTAGTCCTCCACGAGGACTGAACATCCGCTGTCTTGGTACCGAGCTAAAAAAAGTTCGGCTCCATTCGAGGCGGCGGCACAGAGCGCACACACAATCACCACCACAGCTAACCACTTGAAGCAGGCCTGCATGCTCATGCGTGTGCAGTTGGTCTGAGCTTGTGTCTATCCTCCGCTGTGTGGGGGAAAGTGTCGGGGCGCCCGACAACAAGAACCAATCCCTAATAAAACGCTTGCTTGGAATTTCTGGTATGTCCACTGGGGAACATTCCTTGGGAACGTTCCTGGTGTCTCCCCATTGGCCTCTGCCACCACATGCGCGTGGTGGTCGCGAACGGCCTGTGGGATGTGCTCGATCACCGACGGGTGGCGCGCATCGTGCCGATGCGGGCACGACGTGCAGGCCACCGCCAAGGAGCTCGTGCGACGGACGTGCGCGATGGACAAGTGCACGACCGACAACATGAGCGTACTGGTGTTCATGCCCAAGAGGCTCGAATGAAGAAACCCTAAGCCCCCTTTCTTTATTAGGCCGGAATGATGATGGGGAGGGTGACGCTGCTCGAGATCTTGCGCCCTCGCCTAAGGCATCGCGGAGCTGCTTGCGCAGGTGCTGCATTGCGGCACCGGTGAAGGGCACCCATCCGCGCATGCCGGTGTCGGGATCGTGGCTGATCATGATCTTGATGTTGTTCTTATGATGCTGCCGAGCGGAAGCGCGCGGGCGTACCCGGAGAGGAGCGTGCGGATGAACTCCTGAGTGAAGATCCCTTCGCCGTTCTTCGGGGCCACTTGCGCACAAAGGCCTCCTTGACGAGGCGCATGATGGAGGCGGCGTTCTGTGGCGCCACGAGCACCCACCGAAGGCGCGACTCCTTGATGTCGTTGAAGAAGAGCTTATTCTTGTAGTACATCATCCGGCCCAGTGCGAAATTGGGGGCGCTCGGGTGGCGTTCGCCATCTAGCATGACGATGAAGGCCTCATCGTTGGACGTCGCGGTGACTTCTTCTTCCTCCTCCTCTTGGTAAAAAGAGTCTCCTTTTCCTCTTTTTTTTCTCTTTATTTTCATTTCGGCGGCAAAAACGTCGTCGCCACTTTCTTCGCTTTCCCTTTTGCCTCCCCCCACGCCTTCCGGAGTCCAAGAGCCCTTCCATCTCTTTCATCAAACGCGTTTGCCCTCGATCCAAAGAAACAGTCTCTAGAGACAGAGGAGTCAGAGACAGAGGGAGGCATGGCGGCAGCACCAGTAAAGTTTACGGTGAAGGTGGTCATTGTGGGCGACTGCGGGTACACCCCACCACTACACCCCGCAATAGGCGCCTGCATGCATATATGCTGACCACAGTGGTCGGCCAGGGTGGGCAAGACGGCCCTCGTGCAGCGGTTTGTGTTCAACAAGTTCGACAAGTGCGTGCTCACGTCACTCCTCCCACCCCCCCCCCCCAGTCGGTGTGGTGGTGGTGGTTCG